GCAACACATAGCAACGATCCATGCCTTCTTTTGTTTCGAACATTCAGTTGCCATGAACGCAAACGATGACTTGCGATTTCGTCGAAGCTCTCTAATGCCGTCGTAAGGTTGTCGAAGGATTCTGGCATGCTCTTCAGAACCATTACCACCTTCAGATGCACATCTAGGTCTTGACCCGTATTTGCCAGACTTGAGAAAAGTTCTTCCATCCGGAACAAATGGCCCTCCATGTCGCTATTCTCGTTGTATTTTGTTTTACAAAGTCTCTTCAACAGTGATACCTTGATCGCCATCGTCGTCTTTTGATGATGAATTTTGAGTTCGTTCCACGTATCTCTTGCCATCTTGCAATTTAGTAATATTCAAGTTAAATTCCTTGGCCCATAACCTATGGGAAACTAGGCCGTAGTCGTACTGAAGAGTAGAACAACTTGCTTGTGTGATGGTCAGGAACAGAATGAATAAATTCTATTTTTCCCGAGGGGCGCGACTCTCTCTACGATGCAGATGTGTTTTGCTATGGTTAGCTGCGAGCCCGCTGAGTAGATAGAAAGAAGATTGATGACGATTCTGAAGATTTCCTGCAAAAAAATGACGCACCATGCAAGTATATGCGAGATATGAAAGAAGATTTTTCGAATATTGATTCGCTAGTGTGAGTTTTGTTGAGCATCTAGAATTGAGATTTAGATGTGTCGCCCCCTCGGTCAAGATGGTCAACGCCTACTGGAGTTCTGTAGTCGCTCCACTTTCAACACCAACACACTCAATTCTGGTTTTGCGCGATTTAATTTTTATTCGTTTTTCTCCTCATGCAGGATTTGTACAGTATTTGGTTGCAATTTGAGATCACACGATCAAAAACAGAAGCAAAAAAATCGAGTAAAAACAGAATTGAGTGCATATGACTGATATTATTCCATGAAACTATTTTCACCGTTCGAGTTCGTAGAATCGTATTACCTTGAAATACTGATCAAATTCCAGCCATCCCGTGACACTTAGAACGTGTCATAGGGGCAGTTCCAAAAACTTTAGGAAAATTGCAGGATCTGAATGGAAGTTCCTAGAAATTTGGGAAAGTTCAGAAATAATCAGGGAAGTTCCGAGATGTTTAGGGCTTTCCGTTAAATTTAGAGCAGTTATGTGAGCTTCAGAGCAGAAGCTTCCATTAATATCAGCAAAATTTAGAAAATTTTAGGACAGTTCCATCAATTTTAGGAAAATAGTGGAAACATTCAGAAAGCTTCGAAAATTTCAGCGATGCATCAAGAAGTCCAGGAAAGTTTGGAGAACTTCCAAAATATTTCGAATACATCGAAAGTCCATAGAACATCGAGGATCTTTTAAATTCATTAATTTTAGGGCAGAACATCATCAAGAGAGTTGTGAAAACTTATGTTCCAAAACCTTCAGGGAAGTTTTTAATGCTCCAGAGCAGTCACATTAACTTTACGAAAATTGAAGGAACCTAGCAGAAGTAAGTTACAAGGATTGAAAGTGAATTCTGATAATTTCAGAGAAGTTTCATTAACAGAAAGATGTTCTTTTCGGAACACATGTAGTAGACCGCATTTTCAATGTGTGGAGGTGGATATCAGGACAAAATTCTGCAAAACAACAACAGGGCCCTTTTTATCATTTGGAGACCTTCTTATAATTTGTCTCTATACTGTATTTTCAATTACACTAATCAGTTTTTGATAAATCTATCAAATTCTACAATAAATACCCTTCAAAACAATAAGTCAAAAACACAAATAACTTGTTTGGTTTTGGAAAATTTTTATTCAAATAAATAGCTACCAAAATCTAAAAAATCCATGGTTGTAGCAAAGTGGAACCAAGCAGATCTGTGGGGAAGTTCCGATAACTTCAGGTAAGTTTCGAGAACTTATGGAATTTACCAAAAAAAATCCGTTTAATATTCCCATATATTCATATAAATTCTCTTCAGCATTCTCTAAGTAATCTACCGAAATTCCCTTGGAAAACATCCTCTCTAAAGTTATTGTATATTCTGCATAAACATTCTATTGTAATCTTCCAATGAATTCAATTGAAACTATTTTTAGAATAAGAGTTCACCTTAGAATGCCGTTGAAGCTAACATATCCAGGTTCACTTTGAATTGTTATCAAAATTAAGAATTATCTTAGGAATTCTACTCATAACTACTACTAGTGGTACCGGCAACGGCGTATTGGATAGCAATCATACCTTTCACGCCAAAGTTACGAGTTCAATTCTCATCCCCGGACAAGTGACAAATGACCCAAGAGCGTTAAACTGAAAATGAAAAAAAAATACTACAACCAGTTGAATTCTCGAAAGGATTCCCTTATGGAATTTTCCTATGAATTTACTTTCAATACTTAACTCTAAGTTGAAATTATTCTCTGAATTGTATTTGGGGATCTTCGGGACTCCTCTTTACAATCCCTATGAAATTCCCATATTTTTACTCATAACTCCCTTGAAATTCTTCAATTCGCCAAGTTCATGGTGTTCTTTTCAGAATTACCTTAGAATTCCCTCCAAATTCTCAACAGAATATTTTAGGAATAATCCCAATTCTAATAAAAAATCAATTTCGGAGTATTTGACAACTTTCCAGAACCCAAAATCTTGATTAATTTTTCAAATTTGGAATCTCGAAACTTTTCCAAAGTCCGAATACTTTGGCACAAGTTCTTATAATATTAACAATATTTAATAACATTCAGAGTCCTAAATCTTGATTTATTTTTTAAATTTGGAATCTCAGAGAGAAGACTGATCATATTCTTTCCGTAGATTCGGTGCTTGCTTAAGGCTGGTCAGTGATGGAAAAGTTATCGAAAACTCACTATGACTCGCGAACTTTTCCCTTGGTGAACTTCGTGAAATATCGCGATCTTTTCCAACACTGAGGCTGGTAGACAATTCGGAATGAAGTTTCTTTGCTTTTATCGCAAAAAGATTGGAAAGCCTAGAAAAGTCTCTTCCAAATGTATTCCCTTGAACAAAATCCGATAAATTTCTTATGGGGCATACAAATTTTTCAAGGTTCTTGAACTTATTTTATTTTTTAAATTATGAAAATTTGTGTTGAGTACTTGCCACTGATGAAGTCTGCAAGTAGTAGACGAAATACGCGTATCTGTCAAAAGATAAGCAATTATAACGGCATTAAAAAGAAATAAACCAACCCACTCAAAGCTCTTCATAAAGGGATTCCGTTAAGAGGTTCGACAAATTTAAAAGATATGAAAATTTATTTTATTGGTAAATAAGAAGCGGAATTTGCCCCTCTGAATATGTCCATGTTTGGCGGGAGTCATTTTTCGCCACCCCCTCAATACGGTCCTGCCTGTGGATGTCGGAATATCTCCATAATGCTTCAAAGCATCGGGTGAACCAGCATCAATTTATGACCGTTTAGAGCATGCTTCAAAAAAATTGGTTGTAAGATGCTGGCAGCAGTTTTATTTTGGCATCACATGGTCGGAGACAATAAGTTCAAAATTCAGATTGACTCACTCACAAACAAAATTGCAGAGTAAATTTAAATTCCTCCAAGTAAATGGCTCTGCACGAACACTTGCAACAGACAGCAGTGTAGCACGATAGAGTTGAGAAACCGAAAGAATGTAAAAATCGTTCTCTACCTACAGGGTGATTCGGAAGAACTGTCACTTTTAAAAATGGTCATAACGATTGAACGCTTGCATTAATTTTAAATATCAGTATATTTCAGATATACTTCAACTTAGCATACCTCAAATCTCTCTCCCTTTATCTTTAATTACCAGCCACATTTGTCACGAAAATGAACCACAGCTGGCACGCACGTTTTAGTTCCAGCGCTTTTGAAGTCCTGGCGATGCGTCTAAGCTCTGATATTGAACGAATTTTCCACGCAAGGCTCCTTTTTACGTCTATAACGATGCTAAAAATAAATGATTCATTCTTTCGAAGAGATGTCAGTTCCTAAAAGATGACACGAATTTGTAAAGATTTATGACATGCTCCATTTTCACGTCCATGGCTGCTAGAAATCGAAATCGAATAAAATTTCAAAGCCTACTATCAATACAAGCTGATATTTATACACACTTTAAAACAAAAATACTTGAACAGAAAGGTGATAGTTGTCCGATGATGTTGTTGGTTTGCGTGGTCGTACTTTGGTTCGCGTGTAAAGGGCCTTAGAAAGTTTGTTTACAAATGCTTTTGTGCCGTTATCAAATGTTATGCCTGATATACCCATTTTACCCATTGATAATTGAATTTTTGTGAAATCGGTATTCTGAATCACCCTGTAGTTCAAACCCGTCCGTCAGAATTTACTTCAATTGAAATGGCGCGATGCTTTCAATTATAACAAGAGCTAAGAGTGTATCACCAAACAGGTAATGACAATCGCGATATAAATACATTTTTCCTAACAATCACTGGGATGCTGGAAGCTCAGCTCCACTTGGCATAGCAAATATACTTATAGAGCCTAGATACTTCACTGTATAACCACACACACTTAGGATTAGAATCACACCTTACATCAAAGGCTGCCATTGAAGCAATTGCTGTCGCTCAAAATTTGCTTTCAACACAGTTAAACCTATAGTTAGAGAATAGCGAACTAGAATAGATTAGATGTTTGCCGCAAGAATCACAGGACAGGAGACTCAACAACCGAATTACACTCAAAACAGATACTCTCTCACTCAACTATACAAGATTATTTTCAAAAATCTACTAATACCTCTTCCCCCGTCGAACAATACAAAATTCAAACCAGTGCCGATTGAAACCGTCGTCGTCGAAACGGACTTGAAGCCAACCAAGAACCAAAAGAGACGATTAATGCCAAAAACCAAGGAAGTTGAGTCAAACTCGCCAGCACTAATTCGGGACCTTCCCGGTTCTTTTCCATTTCTCTTCTCTCCCTCTTTCTCTCTTTCTCTCGACACGATCGCCTTCCGCTTCCGGACATGGAATGTGGTTCTCTGTTTCAGTCTCTGTTTACTACTTCCCCACAGAGGACGACGACGAGGACGGTCCAACGTTCAAGGACAAGGCCGTGGAGTTCACGATGCGGATGATCGAAGTCTTCTGCGTGTGGGACTGTTGCTGGGCTTGGCTCAAGTTCCAGGAGTGGGTCTCGTTCATCGTGTTCGATCCGTTCGTCGAACTGTTCATCACCCTGTGTATCGTGGTCAATACGCTGTTCATGGCGCTGGATCACCACGATATGGACCCGGACATGGAGAGGGCCCTCAAGAGTGGTAACTATGTGAGTAGCGCCGGGGCGGATTGGGAGATTCCGGTTGATCAGGGGAAATCTGACCGCTTGATTCGATTTGATTGCAGTTTTTCACGGCGACCTTCGCGATCGAAGCGACGATGAAGCTGATAGCGATGAGTCCCAAGTACTACTTCCAAGAGGGCTGGAACATTTTCGATTTCATCATCGTGGCGCTGTCACTGCTGGAACTGGGACTGGAAGGTGTTCAGGGATTGTCAGTATTACGTTCATTCCGTTTGGTAAGTACGAACGACGGGTCTGTGGGAAGAGTTCCATGCGATTCCTTCTAGATTAGTTTGCGACTAGTGTCCCGTGGTGTGAGTGGATGATAGGTAACTTTTTTGCTGAGACTTTGACATCTTTAGATAAGGGGCAAGAAGAAGCGACGACCAACTTAGAAGTACCTGACAACTTCTTTATGATACTAACGCTTACGCAACCCCCCCGATTCTCCACAGCTGAGAGTGTTCAAGCTAGCGAAATCGTGGCCAACGTTGAACTTGCTGATCTCGATCATGGGTCGCACGGTGGGCGCTCTCGGTAATCTAACCTTCGTCCTGTGTATCATCATCTTCATCTTTGCCGTGATGGGAATGCAACTGTTCGGCAAGAACTACACAGGTAGCGTCCCGTCGGAGAGCCCCTCGCAAGTGCGGCCTTTTTCTGCTACTGTTTTGATCTACTTTTATCTTCTTTACGAAACCCTTCAATCTCTTTACAACAAAACATAGCTTGAAACTTTCTGCCTGAATGCATTGCATCAAAGTAAAACTAGCCGAAATTATCAACGCTGTAGCGCCACACCAAACTCACCTAAAAAAAAAACATGATCTACAATCAGCGGCAATTAGCGAATTCACCAAAATTTTCGATTTTTGTTTTTAGAGGAAACAACATCTTATCGCTTTCTATAAAATATTACGCCCGGAAAAAAATAATTAAGCGGTTGCGGCTGCGCGTGTTCGTTTGTATGAAAGGATGCCCTTAGTGAACACATTATGATAATTAGTGACTAGATTTAGACAGAACCAAACAAACAAAAAACCGAATCTACTGTACAAAATCCATAGCTCCTTTCATCTAACGCAATCCACACTTGGAATGGTATCAACGATTTTACCCGATATGCTTCTTTTTCTTCTCTCTTTCTCTCTTTCTCAAAACTATTTTGCAATCATACGCAACTTTACACGAATAAATTACAATACTGCCCATTGCTACATACACACAAACACACCAAAACATTACGCCATAACCACCAACCTACCCACAGCTTCGAGTGTTCAAGCTAGCGAAATCGTGGCCAACGTTGAACTTACTCATTTCCATCATGGGTCGAACGATGGGTGCGTTAGGTAATCTGACCTTTGTGCTCTGCATTATCATCTTCATCTTTGCCGTGATGGGAATGCAGCTGTTCGGCAAGAACTACATCGGTAAGTAGAACGACGCGACGAGAGAGAAGGAGAAATCCGTATACTAACTGCTAGGTACTTACATAAATCACCCAGAGAAAACTAAAGTTGCCATGATGCAAGTCGAAAGGGATCTAAACCTCAGCTCACAAACGACAACAAACACAAACAAGACAGATGAACGTCCTAGTAGAGGATTGTAAATATGATATAAATATGTGGAAAGAGTTCAAATTTCACACCACTAGGGTGCGATTGGGCAGATTAGATCCTTCTCGTAGTTGTCATGAATTAGATTTAAGCATCGGTCTCGATCGAAAAGAAACGAACTCCATCATTCCCTAGATTCGCCTTAGTTTCTAGTGTAAAATAACCACCCTGTCCCTATCGCGTCTAGAAAAAAAAAAACTGTGAGTGATTCTTTCGCTCTGCGTTGTTAGAACGAAAAGGTAGAGTATGTACATACATCCGCTTTATAGCCAGGCTTGCTTCTGCTGCTTGAGCAGAAATTAGCAATAATATAACTTATCATAACCAATGCAGCTTGCCCAAGAACGAAACATTTTGAAAAATCCGACAGATGAAGCGAGAAATGGCATTCTTGATTAAATCCTCATGTGAAATCCTCGGGGTCAAACATGAAGTCGACATAGGTGATGTTCGTTGGCTCTCATTTAAACAGTTGTTGATGTTGTATGGTTTGTTGGAAAGGCACATTCAAGGAAGAATTGTCAAATAGACGTAAGTACTTGGGACCACAGGTAGTCAATCTTTCGGGTTGGAAATTTTCTAGAAATTCCTGATCAAAGAGCAGTACCACGGAAAATGACGAATCGGAAAAACTCGACCTTCAAAGATTTGCATAATTGTGTGCAAGGTTGCTGATTATCGCAAGGAATTGTGACTATGGCATGACCAGACACTCCCAGGTAACTAGCTCAGTAGTATGAGACCCCTGAACTGTGTCGCAGGGCCGGCATGTTACTGGGTATTCGGAGGGGCTACGCGGACAAAGTATGAAACACACATTTTCTAACATGTATTTCCCTATTCTGTGGCGTGTGGGTGTGGGTTTTCACATATATGTGGCGTGTATGCGAGGGTTTAAAATTTAGTACTCACTGCTGCAGCGGGATCTCCTACGGCGTCGCGACGCTGGCGTTGGCCCACACGGCTGCTCCTACACTACCGTGTGGCCGGAAACTTGCGGCGCGTTCTGCAGACAGTGTTGTTGCAGCTTTGGGAGAATGACGGATCTGGTCGAGCCGAGACGGGACCCTCCTTGATAATTAAGGCCACCGGCCTGAGGAAATCGTCCCTGACGGACGATCGAGGATCATTTACTATTAGGCTCGGAAGCCATCTTGACTTCCGAGCCGAGCCGTGTAAGACCATTTTATTTACGGTACGAGGTCCTATTGCAGGGTAATATTTCCGTCAGGTTGGCTGATAACAATAATTTAAGCCTATTTACCTGAACGGAGGCAGTCCAACATTCCAGAAACCCCACAAGGGGGAGGGGGGGTACACTAAATGGCACTGCACTTAAAAATACCGGTCTTTTGCACACGGACGCCTGTTTGTTTGTGGGCAATCTTCCACTGAAAGATGGCCTCTCCAATATCTCCAATCATTATCATTCTCCCTCTTTTCGCACAACCATTTTTGTGCTAGATGTTGTATAAAAGTTTTTTTCCCTTCAGTAACGTTCTTGTTCTTTGCAGCGGCACAAACTCTCTCGCTCTTGTGTGTGTCTACTGTTTTAGGTTTAACAAAACGTGAATTTTCACAACCAACAATAACTCATACAGAAGAAAATCCACGGATTGTAACCAACTGGTTACAGAATCTTCACTCACTATATTTCTCCATTGCCGTAGAAGAGTTGCAGCAATGCGTATACGGTTTATTCTTCATGTGTGAATGCTCTCACTAAAGGGCCACCCACATTAGATCCGTTTGCGTTGCGTTGACGTAAATTTGACAGTTAGACAATAGGTTTAGCTGTCACTTTGCCACAACGCGTCCGATCCGGATCTAATGTGCGTGGGCCTTAACGCAACACGTAGTATTTTGCCTCTTCTACACGGTATTTCAAAACTACCCAAATTTGAGTAGAATCCACCCAGATCGGTCAAAACTGAACCTACCCAAAAATGGGTAAACTATGTTGGGAGTGACAAGTTGACAAATTCGATCAGATTCATGTCGATGTTGTCTATTTGTCAACTTGTCACTCAAAACATAGTTTACCCATTTTGGGTAGGTTCCATTTCGACCGATCTGAGTGGATTCTACCCAAATTTGGGTAGTTTTTAAACATCGTGTACACGGTTAGAAAAAAGTACTCAAAATTAAGTTATTTTCACTCATCTCGTCACTATACACGCTTACTTCAGCTTACTCACTGGGTGAGTCGATCGTACTCAATTTCGTCTGATGCATTAGGTTGTCAAAATCTGAGTAAACGAGAAATGTCAAACTGAGTAAAAGTCACTCAGTAAGCCGAATCCGGGACTTAGGAAAAAATGCCAGCTGTGTCGAAACAAACGATCTAAGAAACGGCGAAATTATTTTATAACACCGACCGAAATTAATTAAGGTAAGTAGGAATTGCATGCGGAGACGGTTTTCAGTCGTCTTCAGCTCCAGTTAAATGAACCTGGAGCAGGTAATTTCCATTTTTTATCAAAACAAATAAAAAAGAAACTTCCCGGTTGAAAATATCACAGAGTGGTTTTGACTCACTCTGCGCGAGAACGTTGTTTACTCAAAAGTGAGTAAAAGTGCATCTACTCACTTTTGAGTAGCCATACTTTCCGCTGAAATGAGCATATTCGACTCAATTTTGAGTTGTTGTGAGTTACCGTGTAGTGCAGGAACCCAAAAGTAAGTAAAGAGGGTCAAAGTAATTTTCATTTACTTGTGTGCAGTTCGTATCAAGGGGTTGGTCACTCTACACTGTGCCAAAATAAAACTGGGGCACACCCGGGCGGAGTCATTGGCACTGTTTGGCATCCATGGTTTTCATGATCTTTAAAATTACTGGCAACACTGAACTTTTTCTGCACCTGCACAGTGTGCATGTGTCTAAATTTGTTATTGATGTTGCCACAATACAATACAATTTTTACAAACCACAACCGTGAATCTCCATCAAGTCCCGCCAGTGATTCTCCAAAATCGAATTGAATTCCACAAAGAACATCATATTACCTGTCCGAAGAAAAAAATCAGTGCAATCCCTTGCATATTCTTGAGCGAATTTGAAGCTTTCCTTGGCGAGAACATGCGAGCCGTCGGGAAATGCCAGCGGAAAATCAATTCCTTCATAATTAGGGTTACCATATCAAAAACTTGAAAAGGAGGACATTTCATTTGAGGTTTGGTGATTAAGGAGGACAATGATTACTTTTCTTAACATTAAAGGAGGACAATGAGTTTTTATCAAACGTTTTAATAATATGTGTGCTATCACAAAATGCATGATTTGCGAAGGTTCAATTGATATTGTTCATAACTTGTGGTCGTTATCAATTCAATTCATCTTCTCTTTGTATTTCTGAAAAATGCATCAAACTAGCCTTCACAATGCATGTTTGATACTTGGAAATGATCTAGTCCAGCTGATTTGCATGAAAACTGCAACTTTAATCATGTACAAAAATCAGTATACATGTCATCGCTGATTGAAACCAACATGGAACATCTAAGCAACCTGTTAATTTTACCATTGATTCAGCATAGGACTCTAATATCCCGTACAGACTATGGATTATATAATGAAATATAGGCTGTCTTGCAATAAGCACTCTTACATAGGATTTCCAGCGAAAACTAAATGTATGAGTGCTCATTTCAAGACAGCTTATAGCTATAGCTTAGCGTTATATACAAAATAATTCCTATTATTGATATCATTCCTTACATTCGACTTCACGCTTCACGTGCCTCTTAGCTCTCAGTATGGCAGCGGCCAAATCAAGCATAACTATTAAAATCGACGAAAAATGCTTTTGTAAACAATCTCTTTAATCGACGATTTTTCTTAACTGCTAACTCACCCACGCAAACAAAGACCATCATCAGGTAGAGAACTCTTTCTCCTACTATCTGGTGTTGTTAGTTTTTGTGAGTGAGCTTGCAATTGCCACAAATCGTCGATTGAAGTGATTGTTTACAAAATAAGATACGTCGATTTGTATAGTTCTGCTTGAAATACCCATAGAACCAGAACGTCAAAATCGAACGCATGTTGGATTCAATCTGTGTGGCTGTTTTTCATTTGGTGATTTTTTAACTTAAATTTGACAGATATAAAATTTTCAAATAATTCTGTTATTGTATCAGACTTATTTCTGCCAGACCAGGAATCAATTTTGACAAATTTCTTCTCAAAAATCACACGATCAACAACAGAGAGATTTTTGAACATTATAATTTATTTTCGAAATGTCAAATTTAAGTAAAAATTCAGGAAAATGGAACACAGCCTAAGGTTGAGTTCCATTTAATGAATTTTCACTGACTCTTCGAAAATAATACAACATGTTCGAAAATACCTCTGTTGTTTATTGTCCAATTTTCGAGAAATTATTTGTCAAAATTGATTCCTGGTTTGTCTGAAATAAGTCTGGTAGAATAGCAGGCTTATTTGAAAATTTTCCATTCGTCAAATTTAAGTTAAAATTAACGAAATGGACGGCAGCCTTGACCGCAACCTTATGTCGTTTTCGTTTTTGCGGTGTAGCACTGGTGTACACTCCAAAAAATCTTCACGTTGATGCTACGTGAAAAATCACGTAACCCCTTAAACACCCCATTTCAATCATTTTCACGTGCCGCAGATCAACGTCAAATGGAATTATGATAAAATTTACGTGATTTTCATGTCGGTTGATACTACGGGAATTTCACGTTAAAAGAATGTGATAAGCATGTACACTCTACAAAGTATACACGTTCAACCTACGTGATAAATCAAGTAGCCATTTCGATTACTTCAACTTCCATTTTTACAT